CTAGACGCAAAGACAATTCTACTAACATAAATGTGGTTTTTACAGGGTGCTGAAAAAAGAGACTGCCGGCGTCCTCCATGCCATTATATCAAGACGACATGGACATCACACTCACTCAATTCACCATCTCGATCACAGTCAGCGCCGGCTCTGAGGGAATCGAAATTCGTGTAGTGAGAGGGAACACATAAGTACAATTTAAAAAATGTACAACGTCTTCTTGTTATCCGAAGGGCCTCTGATGTTTAGTATATGATATTATCTGAAACCAGGCTTGCAGAGCATTAGAATAGGAAGTGCACTAGATGAGCCCAAAACAAAACTATACAACTTCACAAAGAAACAGTCATTTAAAAACGCAGAGAGAGAGACAAAAACAGAACAAATACAAAAACAAAAAACAACCAACAAAAACAACAACTAACAAATAATCAATAAACGGTCACTTCTCTCCAAAAACCCCAATCAAAACAATACAAAACAATACAAAACATCACGAGTATAAAAAACAAACGATAACAAACACGCCAATTGTGTGTGAACAATAACAGTAACAAGGGTAGCAACAACTATCAAATATCAACATGAACAACAGGAACACATTTGTGATGCAGCGTGGTGGAATCAGGCTCTCGTCAAATTTTGGGCATGTAGAGTTATTGATATCATCTTAAAGCTTGTTCATTTGTCTTTATTTGGGTGAAAAAAATATCCATTTATCTTGAATACAAATCGAGATATTTGTGAAAGAAGGAGGTGGGGGTCACCTGTTTTCAGAGGTAAGATTAGTGAGAAAATGGCCGCCAAAGATTAGTTATTTCCTTAGCGTAAGAGTCCGTGGTAACTGAAAATTTACATTTTTGTGTGCCTTTAATCAACGTTTTTCAGAAATATCCACACAGAAATGAGTTCTTTAATGGGCATGAAAGGTGTTGAGCCCCCCTAAAAAAATTGAAAAAAATTCACAAACCTGTGGAAAGATGCAAGTTTCTTCACTTTGATTATTTTGACCAGAGTCTGATTCCACCACGCTACCTCACATATTATAATAACAGCAACAGCAACCGCTTCAAAGAAATTGACCATACTCCCACCCTCCTTTAACAAAAGAAAAGCTCTTTGAACGTACCCGCCACCCTCCAGCCCCTCCCCCTCCCGAACACACCCAACACAATTCAAATTTCCAAGGTAATCACACACAGAAGAAACAATCAAGTAAAATAATTGGTCGGTTTTAAGCACAAGGGGGCTATCCCGAAAAATGCTGTTTTTAGAAAATCAAAGTTAAAGTTTTTGGACCCTTGTCCAATCTCTTTAAAAGACAAGGAGAGTTTTCTCTATAACCAAACAAATATACACACCAATGAAGCCAAACTTCTCCTCTAGGTAGGGCAATGCCCACTTTTTGAGTAGGTCAAGATTTCTGGAAACCCCCAAAATCTGGGTTAGCTCGCTTGTCCTTAAAAGCGCCTAATTATAGTCAGATACTTTAGAAAAATGGTATGGGTTTAACGCCCCTATCAACACTGTTAGGTTATTTAAGAGGCGGACCGATACTTTAGCTTTACGCGGAGTTGCGAAAACACACTGTGGTAAACCTTCTCTGCGGCCAAAATGCTACACGGAAACGAGGACAAAAGACCTTAAAAAACAAAACAAAACAAAACAAAAATGCACTCACACTCATTCTCCCTCTTCTCTCTCTCTCTCTCTCTCTCTCTCTCTCTCTCTCTCTCTCTCTCTCTCTCTCTCTCTCTCTCTCTCTCTCTCTCTCTCACAACAATGAATAAACTTTCGGGACAGGTACAGGCATTGAAATTACCAAACACGGTTCACAGTCTACACTAAACAATTATTATACATGCACAGACATTTCTGTTTAACAAAATTCAGTGAAAATTAACAGTTATGTGTGACTGGTTTTGGGGAAAACGTATACATAATTATATATATATATATATATATATATATTATATTATTTTATATATATAATATATATATATAGTCAAGGATATAAATAGATTGTTCAAGAAAATAATTCAGTACCATTCAGTGTGAGAGTCGAAAGAAAACAGCGCCCCAGCAGTGCCAGTAACGATATCTATAAAAAGAAGTGCCCAGGATGTCAGGTTAGCCTTTGTGGTGGAGTATCAAAAAGTACAAGCGAATGTTTGTCTAAAAGATGAATCATTGCTCTATGAGGGAAACGAAATAAAGCGTGCCCATCAGTGCCCGTGGCAACATCTAGAATACAAAAGCCATAGATTTGTTCATTTTCAAATATCCAAGACTGGGTTCTCTGACGAAATTGCAGTTTACCAGGCAGCGAACAATCAAAGTTGACTTTATTTAGAACCACATGAAGGACAAAGAAGGAAAAGTAGCTCTCACACTCTCAAATGTGGCGTGAAATGTGTTCTGCTCTTCATTTGTGCGACTATGGTGCGCTCTAGTGCAGCAAATTTTTAAATTCTAAAACGCAGAAAATGACTGCCATGACAATGCCCAGTCTAAGATATCATAATTCAAATCTATGGCAAAAGCACGCAAGAAGAGTATGACACTTATTTCAAAAAAAAAAAAAAAAAAGAAAGAAAGATGTATCATGTATATATTAACACAATCATTAATAATACATAGCACTATTGTGACAAAGCCATAACAAATTTAGGAAAAATATAAAACAAACAAACCACACACCAACCCCCCCCCCCCCCCCAATAAAAACCAAAACACACGCACACAAACACATACACGCACACAAACACTATGGGGGAACAGCCACAGGAACAAACAGGTGCATTTCTGGACTCAATTTTCCGTCTCAACAGTATTCATTTCTACTAAATTGTTGCTCGAAAGTACATTCATGAACGAATTAGCTAAACATGAAACAATGTGGGAAAACATAGAAGAAGTGACAGTAAATCGTAATACAAGCTTCCCTTAAGACCAAATGAGCGTGACGCCTCGACAATCACCAGGAAACTGCAGACACAATAATTTGTCATATCACAATAATAATATATTAAGGTGCAGATAAACATAATAGAATGAAAAAAAATGGATAGTATAAATCATAGTATCTTTAACATACCATTATAGAATGTATTAGGGCCTTCACACACGAGTGTTAAATACGACCCATCATAAAAACCACTGGGTTTTTTTTTCTGCCATCAGCGCAATAAGTCATCAATAATTCTACGTAGGCATTAACGTCACATGACCAATCATACAAATATTTTTTGCAATACATGTATCATAAATTTTCTCCTGTATTTAAAATAATAATTTATAATGGGACAATAGGAAAGGTCCGATAACTCCGTTGGTATTTACACATCGACAAACAGCCGATAGAGTCAGAGAATCTGAGAGAAAATGAGACAAAAGAAAACCCTTCACATGAAACTACATCCTTATTTGGAAATAAGGCTTTAATGTACAATACACGAAGTGTCCGATATCCATTGTAATACAGGCAATCCGACAATTCCCTTCATCAGACACACAGATTAGGAAGAAAAATAAACGATTTAGCTAGCTTACATTGTGTACGACCCCCCCCCATCTTTTTCCTTACCCATGTGGCTTCTCTATTCGAGTAATAAGTACATTCTTTACTTTCTTAACTCATTTGAGAAAGAGTTGAGGCCTTCCCCAATTTCACACCAAACGAGCACATAAAAAAATGAGTGAAATTATGACTTTTGACATGTCGTGATCATCTCCTTTTTAGACGCAACTTTCATGATTGTGTGCGTCTATGGTGCGCACTAGCCTTGAACAAAAGAGCGTACATAACAAGATAGTTCACTCAGCCAAAAAAGTGTCCGCGGAAGTCCGCGCATTGGTTCAGATGGCGCTGCAGTCTTTGTTTTGAATCTCTCTTTTGTTTCTCTTGAAGAACAATAGGAATAGCAGTTTGTTAGTTTCCCTTTTTTTGTTCGCAAAGTTCGCTTTTTTTTCGAAGAATTTTGAGGACACCTTTTCAATTGGCTCAAAGAGAGGAGTTAACTTTCTTGTTATGTAAAACATTTGCCTAGTGCAGCAAAGTTTTTTTTTTTCTAAAACGCAAAGTGTGACAGCCATGACAATTCCCAGTTTAAGATATTATCTTGATTCAAATCTACGACAAAAGTATTGTAAGTTACTCACTATCCAGGATTATTTCCCTCTACTTTTCCAATTTCAAAGGCCACCCCAGTTGCTCTTACGAGACAGTTCTGAACTGTTCTTGTGTCTTCGAAGATTTCAAGCTTCTAGCAGTCGTTGCCAATGACTCATACATCTCAACTAGATCTATCCTCAAATATGGGTGGCATCCACTCTACACACCAAATTATTTTTCTCTCCTTTTCTCATTCGTATCAAGCTCTGTTCACTGAGTGCTCTATTCAGTAAACGTTAAATCACAAAAACCTTATATCATACCATGTGACAGCAACATAACCCTTTTGTATCTAGAAAAGCGATACTGATTCCAAAATCATCTCTCCCCTAAGATAAAAATTCAATGATAATAAATATAGTATCTCCCCTTCTTGAAACGAAGCAACACAACGACTCCATGGAAATAAAAATCCAAAAATCAATCCCCATAAGAACAAAACAAAAACAAAACAAAAACACGCAAACAAGCAAAACCAAAAACCAATAACAAACAAAACCACTAGCAAACAAGCAAACCCAAACAGAAACAACCCCTTCCAAAGTAAAAAAAAAAAGGTTAATATAAAAGCCCGAAAAGAAACATAACAAGTTAATATACAGCTGTTGTTGGAGTTCTGGTGTCCCAAAAACTATGACGTGATCATCATTGAGAATACATAGATACATGACGTAGTTGTGTGTCGTCACGCCGCGTCCACAGACAGAAGCAAGGCTGATATGATACAACAAACAGTGCCAGGGACCAGTCTCTTCCTCTCTCTTTCTCTCTCTCTCTCTTTTTCTCTCTCTCGCTGGAGTCTTGCATAGACCTAGAGGATCGAACGTCACAATATGCCGTGGGAGGTGAGCGGCATGTTGGAGGGAGCCTCCTCTCCCTGGAGCCAGTAGGTCGTCACCTTGCCCTTACCCTGTGGACCAAGCAGAGACAGATAGATAGGGTTTGTCACGTGAATCTTCAGGGTTGTTGAAAAATGGAAAACATACGAGAAGCCGTTTTTTGAAAGGTTTTTTGTTCGAGTTTTATGGCGCTATTGCAACACAATAAAGTCATATATGTGCCGAAGAATATATGTGTTACAAGAGAGTAACATACTCAAAAAAAAAAGAAGGAGGAGAGACAAGAAAGAGATATGTATGATAGGAAAGAAGGAGCACACGACACCAGAGCATCCGCCAACCACCCACCCACTTCAGGGTTGTTGAAAAAAGGCAAGCTTAAAGTGCATAGAGCATGCTCTTGAGCATGGATATGCGCTATATAAATGCAATTATTATTATTATTATTATTCGAGAGGCCGACACAATTAAAATGATATAAAAACAAAAATACTATGTACATTCTTAGCAATTAATAGAGCAAGTAAATAAAGTTCCAAGTTACGTGGCAAACATAATTCTTATGATTATCTTGATGTTAGAAATAAAATAATGGTATAGCTTGCCCCCGACATTAAAATGATATTTGCTTTAAGCATTTGCAGGGACCAAGGGTAACTGAATGGTCTGAAACGTTAATTTCAGCCCCCCCCCGCCCCCCCCCCTCCGCTTCTTCTACCAGCTCCTATTCCCACACATTGTTGTGACTTAGCCTTGATCACTGTACACCTTACATTTAAAAAGTAAATTCTGATTCCCGAGAGTTCAACTTCGAGATTTTGAAACTAAGATAAGCTTCATTAAATAATTGTATTTGCACGTAATATCTCTTTTGAAGTTGAAACATCAACAAATTGGAAGGTACATCTCCAAGGGACGAAGAGATTTTTTTTTGGTTGCTTTTCTAATAATAGCAACAACAACAACAACAACAAAACATAGCCTACAGCCCAGCCCCTCATTAAACCATACGACGCACTCGTCAATTTTTGGGCATATAGAGTTATTGGCATCATCTTACATCTTTGTTGATTTGTCTTGCTTTCAATGTAAAAATTACACATTTATCTTCAATAGAAGTCAGGATATGTCGAATTGAAGCAGGTGAGGTCACTTAGATTCAGAAGTAAAATATGAGAGAAAATGTTCGCCAAAGTTTGGCAACTTCAAAAGCTTGAGAGCCATTAGAAACTTTACTGTAAATTTACTTTTTTGTGCCTTTAATCTACCATTTTCAGTTTTTAAAAAAGCCACACGGCAATGTGTTTTGAAATGGACCAAAAAGGTGCTGAGCAAAAAAAATAATAAAAAAATAAAAATCCATACAAATTGCCAAATGGGGGAAAAAATGTCGTTTTCTTCTATTTCATTATTTTGACGAGCGCCTGATTTCACCAAGATGCCTCACAGTTATATTCTGTATCAACATTGTCTTACTGTGTAGTAGTAGTAGTATAGGGTTTTACGGCGCTCGCAACTGCTAAGGTCATATGAGCGCGCGTCTTACAGTGTGAAGCATTTTTGAGCGTATGCTATTGTTATCGTCTGGATTGTCGCTCACAGCAAGACGTGTGTTATATTACTAATTTGCATATCCGTATTTCAAATCTGGTTTATGGGAAAATAAATACTACAGTTTAGCTAAAACTTCACTTTAATTAACAGAGACAAAGATAAATAATTATTGCTTATTGATTTCTGGGTGGATGCCAACACTTTTTTTGTATGATTCGTAGAGAAAAATCATTAACACACGTTGAGAATTAAAATTCGTAACAAAGTTGATGAGTTTTTTCAAAATATACCCCCCCCTAAATTAAAAGAAAGAAACAAACAAAAACAACAACCCAAACCCTAAAAAAAGAAAAAAACAAAACAAAACCAAAACCAAAACTACAACAAACCCCC